ACTAGTGTTACAAACACTCTGTAACACTCTGTAACTACTCTATTCACATTGAATACAGGAAGGTGGAGAGGAAGAAGACAAAATATGGATGAGGGAGATAATGAAGTTGAGCAAATAAACGGGCTATTTATGAAAAAGGGAGGAGAGAAAAGCAAGTAGATCATGTGGCAGAGTGAAGGTTTACAATAAACAGAAGAAAAATAGACATGGAGAGAGAGGGATGAGGATTGAAAAAAGAGAGACAGGAATATAAAGAGATGGGGATTGAAAAAAAGCAGAAAGGGGCATTCAGCTGGTGAGGATGATAACTGGGTGAATATAGTGTTGCATTGAGGGGCAGTTGAAGGGAATGAGGAAGGGAGGAACATTACGTTACAGAGAAGAAAAGTTGCTGGATGAAAGAGAGGATGTATTCATCTGCAGGGCACAAAGATTGGAAGCTAGCTAGGAATAGATTAAGTTCAATGTGACAAGATGAAGGGACCAAAGGGGTCCATTAAATGTGAATGGGAACAGGCGAGGGTGTGGGGGCGTACTGGGGGCAGGAATAAGAACAGATTGTGTTTGAAGAAATCATTGGTCTGGTATTTTCAGCAACAGGAAGTGCCAGGAGTCAGATAACTTACAGTTATACATTTCAAAAGAATCAAAGATGGAAAGGGCATTTTGTGTGCTAATTCCCTTAAGATCGTATATCAACAATCCATCAGTCCACACAGACACACACAGAGGCATGTACAGTGCAGCCGCCAGCAGTGTAAGCATCTCTCTGCCACTCAGTGCTTAGTCGTGTTTGGCACCATGCATGGCAGCCGTTTGGAGCTGTGGATCTAGAACAATACATGAAACAAAACACAAACACAAGTAGGTCATCCACTCCAACACAGGGGCACACACTAACGCACAGTTTTAGACATGGAGATACACTTTTGGCTTTATGACAGTGTTCCTCTCTCTCTCTCTCTCCCGTCTCTATCTTTGTGGATTTCAGATTAAACCAAACACTTCATTACGATTACACACTCTTCCTACAGTTTTTTTCTTTCAGATTAATTCCGTCAGCTACACCTGAAAAAAAAACAGCTGATGCAAATGGAGAACACACTTCTAATTAGCAACTCCCTGCTGTTGAATGATGATTGATGATCATGATGAAGTTTAAACTAAGAAGTAAAACATGTGCCAATAATCCGAAACTTTGTTTTAATGCTATTTATAACATGATGGATTTCCTTTAAATATCACTGGTTGCATATCTTAAACTGGAGGTATAGCTTAGTTATAGGTTTTTTTGTAGGTTTTATTTCAAGTCAGAGCCTCAATCCAGTGATAGTCAGAGGGATATTAAATTATAGTTGTGTATAATTGTGTTCAACTCTGTTTAAAACAGGCACTAGCATTATGTCCCTGGTCTCTTCTATTGTCTAACTCACTGAAGAAATGCCCTACAGCTTCAGGCTTGCGGAAACTCTTTTATTGGTTTTCTTCAGATATTGATTTCCTTGCTTCCTACCCCTCTCTCTTTCCTCTCCTTTCCGTCCTCAGTCACTGGGCCACAGGAACTAGAGGACCGGGTATCAATGTGATGAAGTGTGAGTGCGTGGTGGGAGGAGATCTGCGTGGAGAAACTCAGATAGAGAGAATAATCTGTCACACCTGGGTGCAGCTGAAGTGCTTGCAGTCCATTTCTTCCGACAGACCGACAAGCAGGAGAGGGAGCTCAATAAAATGCTCTGTTGCAGACAACACTGGACAACACACACTGACATTAACAACATGCATACAAAATGTCAGGAAATGTAAACAAGACCAGGATAAGATAGCAGTTTAATAAACTTTGAAAATAGGAACAATGTAAAGAAGATGTATTGTATTTTACAAGTTGTGTTCCCGGCAGAGCTATGTGATGACGAGATGAGATTCCATTCAGGCATGATGACCTCCCAGCAAAATGAATAAATAAATAAATGCACAAGACGAGTCCCACGGTAATCCCTGTGGCTGACAGCCTGAACTCTTGGTGCGCACATGTGTGTTGCTGACATGTATATCCCTCAAATAAACAACTCTAAATGACTGCTTGACATCTCTTAGCTGCTTTAGGGAGATGTATCCCGGAATGTATGCTGCTCATCTACTGTGAGGATTTGTGGATGTGTGAGTGTGTGGGCTGGTGATAGTTCGGGAGTGTTGTAGGCGGTTATGGTTCAGGATGATAGGTGAAAAACTCAAAATAGCGCCACACTTGGTATTTGTTTGCACACCTCTGTATGTAGCCCACATCTGTTTTTGCTCCAACTCTCGTCATTATACACAGTGGTTGTTTTTAAACGTGTTGGCAAGGTAAAAGGAAACAATATCCATCTGTACAGCTTATCACTAAACTGATACTTACTCGGGCCGGACTTAAACGTGATTTATATACTTCTAAACCATGTTTAGAGGTTCCAGGTCCTGTCAAACTCTTCAAAGTGACATATTTTTGCTGCACATGCACCTCTCACTCTCCTTTTACTGTTGCCTACCTCAGAGTGATTGGGCTGAGTCAACGCAACGGGCCCTTTAAGTCATTAGCAAAGAGCAATAATGAGCCTAGTGCTTAGAAGCCCCCTGCAGACTTAAGAGTGTGTGATGTAGAGGGGATGATGGCACTAATTCTCCAAAGCACCCTAATATGTAGGATTAGCCATGCCTTCCATTAGCTGAGGCCTTGATGATGCTAAGCTAATGTGCTACAGCTAGACTCCAGCAAGGCTAGAGCATTAGTTAGCATGACTGCTATAATAGAGAAGTGGAATCCGGATAAAGAAGCTTATGAAACACGACTGGTTTTAAGCTAAAATATTCAGACAAATGCAGACTCACATACTCAGGCGCACAATGCACACACATTTAGTGAGTGCATTAATAAATCCACAGATGGACATTCCCACACCCACAAACAGGCATAGCCTACCCTACAGTATGTTAAAAAATGAAGGTGATTGTCGATAGAAGTTGAATCATGGGCTCATTGGTTTGAAGAATAATGGCCATGACTAAGCAGTATGCTGAGACTTAGTGAAGTTTAATCATATATTGTTACACTTTAATTCCTCAAAATGTAGACTTGCACAATAAGCAGTGAGATTGAAATAGCTTTAGCTTCGACTCATTAATCATCTACATCAATGCATGAGGAAATGGTTGCCTGAAATAACCCTTCAGCTTTTGCTACAGAGGAAAATAATTTCTAACAATGTATTGCCAATTAATTACAGAATGGGTTTCATGTTTAAATATTTATAGCTATTGACTCCAAATTTGAAATATATCACCAAACTGCTAAAGACGTTAGTGACATCTCTAACCACTTTACCCTATACACTGTGGCTTTTCGGAGTAAACAGAAAGTCTTTTTTCTCGTGTATTAAACTTTACTGTTTACAAATGCAGAATGTTCAAGATAATCAGAGTTAACTGAACAGGTGAATACATTTGTTTGAAGAGTGACTTGTACATCTTAAACGCAATATATCAAAATCAGTAATGTTTAAATGATGGGAATAAATGACAAAAGCAATTAAATAGACACCATGTTGCGCATCAATAATATGCAGACAAGCACAAATGCTTGGACTTGTCGCGATGTAAGAATGAATCCTCAAAAACACTTTGAATTGCAGTTGACACTTGGGAAAGTGTTGTATAACTCTTATGTTCTCTTTGTCGCACACATGCACAGATACCATGTTCTATTCTGCTTTTGTCAGCACTATGAATCTGTCTCCTCAAGCTTTTCTTTCTTTGAAACTCTCTTTCCTTTTTTTTCTGTCTTTATTTTTGCAGTGACGACAGATTAGTGCATGTGGCATTATATAGGCTGACTGTGTGCTTTAGATTGCGCTTTTCGCCACTGCACATAGCCAAAGCACCATCTGTCTGTGTGTGTCTGTGTAGTTTTGTGCAATGTGATGTCTTTAAACTATTTTTTTACTACTTTTTTGTTTAACCAAGTGTTTCTGTGATAGGGTTTTAGTCAACTAGAAGTGAAATACCCAACAAAGTGTGGTGTTTAGCACAAAGTGAAGGACATAGTGTTGAGCAGAATGCGGGCAAACGATAGTGAGAAAATAAGATGGATGAGGGATGAAGAAATGGGGCAAGAGTGCAAAGTGTAAGTGACCTTCTTGATATAAGTAATGGAAGAACAGATTGAAGAATGCAAAGAAGTATGGATAAAAGATTAACAAAGCACTAAAGAGATGATTAATCAAAGGATGGTTGGATTAAGGGAAGGTAGGAGGAAAGATATTCTGTGTTGCCATGAAGTATTACAAGAGTTGAGGGAAATACGGCCACTGAGTAAAGATGAAAAAGATTTGTGGGTGGAATATAAAAAGGTGCTGTAGAAAGGTGTTAGAAAATAGGTGGAAGAAGAAGGCAAATGACTGCGCATTGAGCACAGTGTACAACATTCAGTGGAGCTCTAAGGCAACTCAAATCAAAATCACTGCAAGACGGCAGCTTTGAAATGATTGGGGCTGAAAAGTAAGCACTCTAGAGGGGCTGTTTTGGACAAGAGGGGAGATAACAGGGGAGTGGCTTGGGAGGGTAGACGTTAAAGGTTTTTGACAGCACTAAAGGTTTAGGAAGGATGCAAGTGGAAGGGAGATAAAAATAAAGCACCGATAGTGTTTGAGAGATGATGAGCACTGAGAAACACCTTTAATCCTCAAAATAACAATGCAACGTATGTGCAAATATATAATATATATATATTGACTCTTGTCTTTGGTTGTCACGGCAGTTTCATGACCTGAAGAACGAAAATAATTTGCCTTGGTGCACTCTCACCACGAATAATACCTTTTATTGACATTTTGCTTTGGTATCGCTCAGTGTCAACACATTCCCTTTTTACCACTGCTTATTCTCCACCAAAACATAGTTCTCTTTGTATGCTTTGAAAAATAACAAGTTATCTTCCTTTGTTTTTCTCCCTCTTCCCCTCCATCCAGCCTGTGAGCTGATGAACCGTGGGATCCTGGCTCTGGTCACTTCAATCGGCTGCATGTCTGCGGGCAGCATTCAGACTCTGGCCAATGCCATGCACATCCCCCACCTCTTTATCCAGCGCTCCCCTGCGGGATCCCCTCGCTCCGACTGCCAACCAACCAGCCGCGTCCCTGGAACAGATGACTACACCCTCATGGTCCGCCCTCCCATCTATCTCAATGACGTCATCATGCAAGTGGTGTCTGAGTATAGCTGGCAGAAGTTCATCATCTTCTATGATTCTGATTTCGGTAAGGAAATAACCATCTAAGCAATCACTAATACTGGTATTTAATATAATACCCTTCCTTCTTCCGTGCCTGCCTGTATGTCTATATGTCTACATATCAATCAAATGTATAATTTAAGTGGAAATAATATTGCTATTAGAAAATTGGAAACCATATTATACATAATTTAGATATTTATACATTTGTAAATCAATGGTAGCTTTTAAACCACCAATTGACATGAATAAAAGAAGAGATGCCATTTGCTGATCTATTTCCTAACTAGCTGTTTTGTCTTGTTTCATGAATATATTTGTTAACAACCCTATCTATTTACAATGAACAACTAGTGACAACTAAGGTCTGTCGTCCTACAGCACACACCAAGATGCAGATACTAATCTTTGGGTTTTTAAGGAAGTATTTCTGATATTGCAAATTTAAAAAGCTGAAAATGAGCAGAAACTACGTATGGCTCATATGCATCATATTTAGAATAAAGCAGAAAGTTATGATTTCATTTGGACCAAATATGAAATAAAAGCATTTTGCCTTTGAAGGGCATTACTAGCTCTATTAAACTGTTGTTTGAATTTGACATGTACAATATATAAAGTAACAATAGGAGTGGTTTCTCACCATGGTACGGGCTAATGAATATAGGTTTGAAACAGAAACAGGTCGCTCTCTGTCTCTCTTTCTCTCTCTGTCTCTTTGTATATGTATAATATGCATTAGTGACACATCAGTCCGCCTGCCCGTGCGCATGCTGTCTCATTTTACCATGCTTCTCTTTCTCTATATCTGTTCGCCATCTCTCTTTCCGGTCCATTACCCCTAACATTAAACCAAAAACATCCGTGTCACTTTTTTAAAAGTGCCACTCTGTTTCTACACTGTCTAAACTTCCTTCTACAGGAATATTGCTTTGATTTTTTTCTGAGCGTGTATATTCAAATATGTTTTTGTATTTAGTCTTTGTAATGTAGTGTCCTTTGTGACGCCAACCTTTAATGATGCTTGGCTTATCAAGTTAACATCATCATGCCTTGTTACACAGCTGTGCCTCTCTGGAAGTAAGGTACCAAACCTAATCAAACTTACATAAAGCACATACTCCTGCAGCATATGGCCCTGCTCCACCTACGTTGCACTGGCACCTTTATGTGTTAAGATAATTTTAACTCTGAGTCATACAGGGTATATGCTGCTGTAGCACTGCTCCTAATGGGATGATATTTAGAGTGATGATGGAGCAGGTATTTTGCTAGCTATTGGAAAACACCAGCTGTGATATCACTCATCAGCGGTTAGACAAAAGTCGAACTCACCTAAAAGTTTCAGCACATATAGAGCAGTGAATTAGTGTTCTGCCTTAGGCAATTCAGTGTTGATTTAATCCATATAGCCATCACGGGCCTACATATCATTCATTGTAGTCAATTAACACAATTAATGCGTTGTGTGCATTGATTTCCAATGGAATCTCTGCAGTGGAATTGTTTAGCAATACGCTCTGCAGGCTCAAACTAGATCTTCTAAAACATTAAAGCACTTTATGAATGGATTGCATGTGTGCTGTAAAATGAATATATTTGTGTTAACACTTTATATGATGGCTAGGTCTATAATACATTATAAGGGTATTCATCATATAATATAATGCATTTATACAAGTTTATTAAACTATTTATGAATGTTCATAAACATGCAGAGCCCCTTATGTTCCATCATAAGGAATTATATGTTAAGCCTTCATTATGCTTAATACTTCCATACCAGTGTTTTAAAGAAGAACCTGAATCCTGGGTTACAGAGCATAACACTACCTGGTTTTTAAAGACCCATATGTAGCTCTTTTCTTCTGCTTGATTTTGAAATGAAATGATGACTTAAAAATGTTGGGCTATAGCATTGTTTTGTGAGCTTTATTAAGTAAGTGGCAGCACTTTATTAGGACATTCAGGACATTACGTATACAAATGTAAAAATGTGCTAAAGGACCTGTCAAACACAGTAGAGTGCTTAGCTTTGGTGCTGTTACTCCTTCTGCTTCTTTAACTATTACATATAAAGTACCCAAGCCTTGCAGGGGCAACAGTGGATTGTGAATATGTTACAAATGTAATAAGAAAATCATTGACAGAGAGTTCAAAAAGATAGTTGCTTAAAAATACAAGTTCTGCTAGTTTGACTGTAAGTCTGCAGGATTTTGATTGTTGATGCCTTTTTTACGGCAATGAAATCTGAATTGATGTTACTTTCCGTTGCACCCTAAATTACACAAAAAATAAATTCAAAGATGCATGCAAATTGACTAATGTCAGGCCTGTTGGGAACAATATTTAGCTCTGACCTCAACCCAACACTAATCAGGACTGAAAATAGGAACAACATTATTTTTTTGGTTATAATCCAAAATGTGTCCCAATATATAATTCACACAACATATACACTATACACCCTATACAGAGGGCACATATACACATGCAAGCAAACACTTACACACATGTCCGTACCCCCCTTTAATCCCTCTATCCCCTCTGTGCTGTGTGACCACTGATTCAGCACATGGATCCTCTGGGTTTTAGCAATGCTGTTTTGTCAGCCACAGAAGGCCCTTTAAAGATATCACCATTGTTCCCTAATGGCCTCAACCCCTGTTAAAGGAGAGAAGGGAGAAAGAAAGAGTGCAAAGGAGTGAGAGGGAGAAAGCAATGTAGAGAGAGAGAGAGAGAGGCAGAGATGGTCTTTTAAGATGATAGCATAGTTCCCTAAAGACCTCGCCTCTGTACAAGGAGACTTCTTTAGAGAACAGACAGTCGAGTGTGTCCTCTCAAATGAAGCTACAGCGCAACTCAACCAATCCCTATTTTCAGCTCTACTGGTGCATTCCGGACACTGAGAACACATGTTTTCTCTCTATCATCGCTCTCCTTCTTCTCTCATCGTTTATTTCTATCCCTCGCTTATATTATTTCTTCTTTCATCCCTGTTGTTACTCCTACTCTGTTTTCTCTTTAACTTATTTTCAGTCTGTCCCAAGATGTCTTGAATTCACATTGATACACATGATATTATAGTAAACATATGTGACGAGTACTGTTAACTTTGAGTGACTTTGTCCAGTGTTAACGGTCACCACAGCAACACGTGGGAAGTATCACTTACTTACTTACTTAGTGGTAATCACATTGTTGACATTAGGATGGTCTGCTTCACTTTGCTTGAATGACAAGATGGGTCAGAGGTACAATAGTAAAAGGTTATAGCAGAACAAAAGTGCTGTTGTGTGCATGCAATGTCCATCAACATATTTACATGGAGGATTGTTTGCACCTTAACTTAAGCAACAAGTTACCATATTTAAACCCCACCTAAATGGCATAAGACACAATTGAGTACGGCAAAACAGAAGAGAGGAGCGCAAGAAACACAAATAAATTGACAGTGACAGGTGAACGAGGACTTTTGAGTGAAGATTTATATCATAGATGGATTGTTTTCCATAATATTGTGAAGCCCAGAGACGCTGCAGGGGTGAAAGAGGGGGTGGAAAATGCATAAAAGCTGTGCAAAGGGAGACATGGGAAAGTTGATGATAAAGGCAGAGTCAGAAAAATGGAGGCAAACTGGTACACTGTGAGGCAAACACAAGCTTTATACAGGGAGGTCATGTCTTTCTTTGTCTCCTCGAGAGTACAAAAGTTCAGAGAGTAAAAGAGAAACAGAGATAAAAGAGATAGTGAATATATAGGGAAAACAGAAAGAGCAAAGCAGAGGAGATAGGGACAGAGATCGTGAGGCATACTGTAGCAGATTTGGCATGGCAAAGTTAAAGGCAGTCAGGAAAGTACATAAACAGAAAAAATAGTGAAAATAGTGTAAAACTATTTCCAAACGTCACTCCATGGTCATAGTTTAGATCCTTGGGGCACATAGGAGTTGAAATGTATTTTTAACAGAGACAAAGTTGAGAGACAAACTATTACTATAATATTGAGTTTTGGTAGACTTCTTCAAATAAATGTTGAGTGCAAAACCCAAGATGCTTAACCTTATACTCGATAGGAGTACAATTATCTTGTTTGGGTTTTTGAATAACTTAAGAATATGTAGTAAAAGCACAGAGGCCAGTCACTGTTGAATTAAATGAATGAAGAAAATAAGTCATCCATCAGTTTTAAATATCATGCTCAGGTCATGCTTTAACTCAGAGGCTCCTTTCACATCCCTTTCGTTCTGTTGGTCACTATCACCATACTATCACGTTATCCAGTATTGTGTGAAAAACAGTGTAGCATCTTTCCCTGGGTATCGGACGTTGGTATTTTGTGTTCCAGTTGCTGCAGCACAGTTTTGTAGTTCTGTCAGTTTTGTAGTTCTGTCATTGGTCTTTTGTCCACTGGAAGCAATGCAGAATTACAATGCCCTATGTTCCTCCTGTGTGTCTGTTTAAATATAAGTAGTTAGCATTGATCACACTCTAACCAGAGTAAAACATGTGTGTAAGGTCACAATTTACAAACTGTTAAAGGAGTTAAAGCATTAAACCCCAATAAGGCAAACTATATAAAACAATACAATATAAATACAACAAATGACATAATTTCCTTTAGTTCAATTGAGTTACAGTATAGCCATCAAGTAGTATATGCATTTTAGAGTCCAAATCAAAGCCACTCTAGATTAAGGACGCTCAAGATCAAAATTGATCATAAAAATAGGAAAAAGGGAGGAAAGTATGTAGCAGGAGAAGTGAAGAGAAGTTAAAGCACTTAGGGGAAGATGTAGGGATATATGGAAGGTGATGCACACCTAAAAGGTGCAGACCCTTTTATAGAGTGTGTTTTTTTTTTTACAAGTGTTGTATAAGTTATCTGTTGGGACTCTTGAATGCGAGGCCTGGGGCTTTGAGAGAAAAAGGTGTGAAAGATGAAGAGAAGGAGGAAAATAAAGCAAAAGAGTAGTAGACGAAGATATAGCACTTAGATAGGAATAGGACTATTTACGAGCAGTTGTGAATCGCTTCAGGGCCTAAAGCATTTTATTTACTATGTGGAGGTCACTTCCCAAGTTTTTGTTCAGATACCTTGAGCTATGTGAACATTGTCAACCACAACTTCAGCTGACAATTTAATTCTCCAGGTCTAGGCTTATGAGGTACAAGACTGCATTTCTTATTAGGTTCAATCCATATTTTAAGAGCAATTGCCTTTGAGCCATACAACAGTAAAATGCCTGGGGCAGGGATAAGGATAGCCAGAGGTAAAGGCTGAAGGGAAAGACAAAGCAAAGAGATAAGGATGTTAGTCTAACAGCAGAACAGGGCGGAGATAGCAAGAAACGCAGTTGCACAAAAATACATCTCAAATTATTAATATTCTTTCCTCCTTTACATAATGCTTCGCTGAACTTCAGCTTAAGATGTGAATATATATATATATAAAACATATTGTTTTTATTGATCAGGGTGTTATAAAATGTTCAAATGTAATATTGTTTACAACATGCTATGAGCACTATATGTAAAACCTACCGGCGACCAAGAATTAAGAAAGTTATTAAGAGGCTTTGACCCAAGTTGTCATGTACAACATCATCCTGGCATTAAATGGATGAAAAAGTCAAGCAAGGTCACACTTACCTTTCCCTTCAGGTCGCCTTGCCACTTGAGTGAAACTAATTTACGTCTGCATGGATTTCATGGCAGCAAGAAACTGACATTATGATAGGGACAATGGGCTATCAAGCTGTACTCCCTGCTTGAGAGCTAGCAGCTCAAAGCTGTTACAGTGGATGGATGGATAGACGGTGCCCCTTTCTAAAGTCACTACCAGTTATGCTTGGCTGTTCCCCAATAGCTTTCTAACAAAAGTTACAGGGCCAGGCGTAAAATGCCTCAGGCAGTTAGACGAAGGTTGAAACAGGAAAGAGCCTGTAACTGTAAAGTCAGATGCGGCATAAAAGTTAACAAAGTTTATCATTTTTCTTTTTATTATTTGAAGGTTGGGATGATTTGCAAGTTAAGCAGCGAGAGTGAGATAGGGTGAACGGGGGAGCTGGGATGATCTGACAGACAACCAGGGAGTAAGAGGCTGCATCTCATTTGCAGATGTTTGATGTGTTCCTCTTACTTCGTACTCAGGGGATCTACCATAATAGTTGATGTGTTAACACCTCCTTTTGGACTGTTGGTCCATTTCCTACATGCAGAGTGCAAAGTGCTTATCAATGTTTTCTCCTCCCTTGCCATCCTCCCTCTAAGTGGTGCTCTCAGTGCAGATTCAAACAACTGATGTATTCAGATCATTCCATTAAAAGTTAGCTAGTTGCCGACACTCTTGTGAATTGTCTTGACGTTCTCTGATTATATCAACATAATTGGCTGATTCTAACATGTTGGTTATATGTTTATTTAGTGCATACGGAAATCATGTATCTGGATTTACAATTGTTAACAACTCAAATGTATTCTTGGAAATTACTTAAAGTGATGTGTTATAAAATCACTCCGAGTTAAATGAAGCCACTGTTGGTGAAATGTGAACACAAGTCTCCAGTGTGGAATTGATGGGCATTACACATGAAGAGAGCCCACCATCTGGAGTGGAACAACTGCTTGGACATTACACCCTTTCAAAATGAGATTCAGCCCTTGAGAACACAAAGCAAACAGGGAAAATGGAGGGAGGTTTCAGATGAAAAGCCAAGGGAAGAGAGAAGGATGAGGAAAAAACAAGCAGGGTAAAAGCAGTGGGGGTTTGTGAACACAGACAGAGTGCCACTGAGCTGGTCGGTACATGCAGGTGAAATCCCTGTGTGCTGTTGGCTGCTACACCACATTAACTCTAGCTTTCACTTTGAGCCAGGGACTTGCAGGATAGACTGAGAAGAAGGGAAGCATGGCAAATGGTCGAAAGGGACACACAGAAGACCATACCATACACACCTAAATCTGTTTTATATAGTATTATGGAAACCCTTCCACTTGACAGAGTTTTCTTTGCAAAATGCCCTTTCAGTTCTACTTCCATACTATGACAATGAAAAGTAATAATCCACAGTGATAAATAGAGAATACGGGGAATTTGCTTTAGGAAGGCGATCAGACTAGGCTGGATCTCCGTTTTACGTCTTTTCTTATAAAAAGGTAGCAGAAAAAATATATAATATTGCTTGCAAAAACGATCATCAATAAACCTGGTGGCACACAGTATGGGTGCATTTAAAGGGAATAAAAGAACAAAGTACCGTATGTGAAGTGGCAGGGAACAAAACCTGTGACTCAGGGTCACATAGCCATTTATAGATTTTAAAAGGTTGTTAAACAAAACATTTTGCATTCACTACTCTGGAATAGCATGGCAGTTGTAATACAGTCAACCCTAATTAGATGAGGATGAAGAGGCGCGGGACTGTGTGGATGCACCGTATGTGAAAATGGTGACAGCACTGTGGGGTGACAGGTGATCATGGTATTAATGGACCGGTACTGTCTCACAGAGGAATGTTTCTCAAACAAGCTGCCTGGATGGGCATGGTTGGTGGCAATTGTACTTGACTTTTTATTCGCTACTGTGTCCTGAAGCTCCTTGATGGAAAGCATTTGTTGGCCAATGAGCCGCTCAGCTGTGGGGAGTACATGTTCGAGCCCATCGTTTGAACAACAGTTGGCAGGAACTCAACCGTACTCGGTTGGCGGAAAAAATAGGTTGTTTTGACAATTAATCAGTACAATTGGACCAGAATATGTCCTCATTTCATCTGAAATTAGTTTTTTGTTCTTCCTGATAGTCAACAAATATTATTTCACTGAATATTTCACACATCGTAGCTGAACTCTTCTTTGTTGCTATACATTTGACAACTTTCTTATGAACAGATTGTGTGCTTAGCTGTCACCTGGAGGTCAGAGTCTGTATGTGTCTTTTGTGTTTCTGTAAAAAAAAGTGGGAAAGACGTTGCGAAATAAACAAGGTACTATTACCTTGCTGTTCTTCCTTGTGTTTTCGTTGAGACAACATTCCTTCTTGTTCTTGTCAGTGTGGGGAATGGTGTGGTTGGTGTGATACCCAACACGCACAAACTGTTCATACTGTCTCGCAAATGAGCCTTCTTGATATTATGAAAATGGGCTTACATATGTGTCTCCTCTTAATGTGTTGTTAAACCTCCAAAATCTGGCATTGATGCAATCAGCCCTCTGGCCTTAACACGTCTAATCAATCCAGTTAATTGTTCAGTCATGACACCGGCAATGACGGCAGTGTCACCCGTTTTACATATCAAATACATCATTAGGTAGTTGCTTTACATAACCACACTGACTTGCAGAAGCGCACACACACACATCCTCCGACATCATTAGTGGTGTTCTCAACCAAAGTGCCTTAATTAGGTATTACCTTGACCTGCATTGTATCTCATTAACAATAGAGTGTCTAAGAGTAGTATTTCTGACACCACCATCTTGGTTTTGTTATTATACAAACATAGCCATTAATAGAGATAATTAAAGTGGTTTTGTACTTTAATCTAAAACTCTTTAATGTCATGAGTGTCATTGGTTTGTATCAGGGTAGGAATAAACGTGTATAGTGTTAGAAATATGTTTTTATGGTTCTAACAGCACAAATAATAATCACAAAAATGACGCCTTATCCCTGTCTGACTGAAGTTTGATTTATATAAGGTTGCTTTGTTCCTGTTTTAGTTAGAGACTATACATGCTCCCATACACACATACTCCCTCTCATTCGTTCTCTCAATAAACTTAGTTAAAATTGAGTTTCTTCTCTGTTTCTACAGGAATCATATATCTCACTTTAACTTTAGCATATCACTAGCTCAAATATATGCACCAAATCACACAGGCAAACAACAGGCCTCTCACTTTGGATGAGACACCACCACATGCTTCTGTTTTCATATCTCTGTTGCTGTGTGAGTTACAGAGGGCTGGTCCCCATACTGTTTTAGGTTTCTAGAAATAAAGTATTCAGTACTGGCAGATGCCCAATGCAGACGTATGTCTATCTCTCTATCTGCCCTGTTTTTTATGCATCACATTTTCAGATGAAATAATTGTCCCCGTACACTAGAAAATAGAGATCAACATTTGTCTTCGTCTCTCTTCCTCCAGATATCCGTGGTATTGAGGATTTCCTTGACCGGAGCTCTCAGCAGGGAATGGACGTGTCCCTACAGAAGGTGGAATCTAATATCAACATGATGATCACTAGTCTGTTCAGAACAATGCGTGTGGAGGAGCTGCATCGCTACAGGGACACGCTGCGCAGAGCGGTGTTGTTCATGAGCCCAGCCACCGCTAAGGCTTTCATCACTGAGGTAAGGACAGTGTTTATTGTTACCAGGTTTTCAATTGAGAGTGAAGTGATAACACCTGTAAGACAACTTAAAAACACTCTCATATACATATACATTGAGAGGTTAGCATCTCCTAATGATCTTAATGCCTTCATTCCATTTCATACATCTCCACTGCAGCTTATCTGCCAAAACAAGTAAATACTGTATATCCATCGAGGCTTTTCCCTGGGCTTTTGGAAAGCTAACGAGGTGTGATCTGTGGGGTTTAGGAGTTCTCCACTTGCTTAATGGAGATTGCTATAGATAGCCTAATACAAACAGCCACCAAACCAGTGGCGTAGCCACCATAGGGCCAGGGTGGGCCCAGGCCCACCCAGTTTACTCATTGGCCCATCCTGAGAAAGCTTCGGTGTCATTTTAAAAAAAAAAAAATTAATTGTATTTATTATTATTATAAAAAAATGTATTCACCCATTGAGAATATCCAAGAATTCAAAGTGAAATTCAAGTGAACAAATATTGAGTTTAATTAATGTTGTATGTGCTTTATCCTCTGAACCAAACTCTGAACTTACGGTAAAAACTGATTGTTGGTTCCGGCGTGCGCCATAATAACGTGAGAGAGGTAGAGACCTGCCTGCAAAATAAATGATGGCTCAAAGTTCACTAATGAACTTTGTTTTTTTTTTTAAAAAGCCAGACTCCAAGAAGAGCACCCACTGTCCTCATCTAGCAGCGATCTATACGATCATTTTCTGATAACGATGAAATAGCCCCGCCTCCCTCTCCCCACCTCTCCTGCTGCTGGGCTGTCAGAAGAAGACAAAATGTTAACGGAAACTCTGCCGCACGGTTCCCTCGTCCCTTGGAAGAGGCGGAGAGGTGGGTGTTTTTCATCTGCTGGTGGACAGTCCGGAGAGATATAGCCTACACAGGGTTGGGTTGTAACGGAATACATGTAACGGTGTTACGTAATCAGAATACAAAAATCAAGTGTATTCAGCTGGCGTTACATTTGAAAAACGAGTAATCTGATTACAGTTACTTTCGTAAACCTGAAGTGAATACATTTTGGATTACTTATTGGAATTATTGGTGGAAAAGTTTCCTCACAAAATGTAATATTCATTACCGGCAGAACTGTGTGCACAGCGCTGCAGCATGTCTGTGAGCGAGAGAGATGCAGCGTGTCTGTGAGGCCCCGCCCCCGCACGCAGATGAGAGAGAGAGATCTCTTTTAAAATAAATTGAAAGTTAGAAACGGAGATGGTTAGATAAAATGTGCAAGATAATGTTTATGTAGCATTTCTTTATTGTCGAAATGATGACATTTATAATGGGATCAAATCAAAGTGAATGGCCTGCTGCTGCTGAATGCCTGGGGCAAGTGACTGGAAAAAGTCTTAAAAGTTATTACATAGTTTCATAATAATAATAATACATAATAATGATAATTCATTCTATTTAGGGGCGCCTTTCAAAGCACCCAAGGACACCTTACAATTCATAACATATTCTAAGGAAAGGTTTTAAGACAGTACAAAGAATGCAGTCTGGGTGATGTGTGGTGCAGATGAGAGAGCTGTCCAGAATGATACCAAGATGTTGTGTTTGTGCTCTTGATAAGCCATTAAAACAGTAACATACGTGTCTCCTGTTCACCAAAACATACCCATCTGTTATGGAAAAAGAAAGTATTCCAAAAGTATTCTAAAAGTAATCTGCCACCTGCGGGGATTGTTGTTAGCTTCTGATGCACAGAAGAAAAATCTGGCCCACCCTATTTTTTACAGGCCCACCCTAAAGTACATTTCTGCCTACGCTACTGCACCAAACCCTGCACTCCAAAAACGAATTCAGGGGACCTTTCACCTCCACTTAATTAAATGCATGGTTGCAAGATAAAAATGTGAGTTAATTGATTTAGATAAACATTTTAAGTTGCAAACATTAATTTATAAGTTGTGTTGACGTAATAATGTTGGTAATTACATCAACTTAATATTGTGTGTAATTTGAACTCTGATTTATGCGTTAATTGAATTAAAACAAAATTCAAGTTGTAGTAAGTACTGTAATGCAATTGGCTTGATAACTTAATTGTTCTACACCTTGAGTTAAGGATTTCAAGTCCACTCCCACTTAACATGCCTGCACAAGTTCCGACAGTTAAGACAAATAGAAATATACAAAGGACATTTTAAGGTGAGTGTCATCTCTTGTCATTCAAATACAGTAGATAGCCTTGTAGTTGCCCTGTATAGGCAAATTGCTGTTTGACCAAAATTAGCAGCCTTTGAACTGTGAATAGTTCTGTGAGAGGATACAAAGTAGTAGAGGCTACTGTGAGAGTACAAATACTTTGGTTACTTTTGTGATCCATCCATCCATCCATCTTCTTCCGCTTATCCGTGGTCGGGTCGCGGGGGTAGCAGTTCCAGCAGAGAGCCCCAAACTTCCTTTTCCCTGGCGACATCAACCAGCTCTGACTGGGGGATCCCAAGGCGCTCCCAGGCCAGCGAAGAGATATAATCCCTCCACCTGGTCCTAGGTCTACCCCTTGGTCTCTTCCCAGCTGGACGTGCCTGGAACACCTCCCTAGGGAGGCGCCCAGGTGGCATCCTAACTAGGTGCCCGAACCACCTCAACTGGCTACTTTCGACGCGAAGGAGGAGCGGCTCAACTCCGAGTCCCTCCCTGATGACCGAACTTCTCACCTTATCCCTAAGGGAGACACCAGCCACCCTGCGGAGAAAACCCATCTCGGCCGCTTGTATCCGCGATCTCGTTCTTTCGGTCATGACCCACTTTTGTGATATCGCTTAATATTAAAAATGAATCTCGTGAAGCAGATCAAGGACATGCTTCTTGAGGTAGGATCGTTATTTAGAGTTGTCATTGAAATGCAAGTTGTTGGCAGTCACCCATTCAGAATATATTCATTTAGGTCATTTCTCTTTTTTTCCTTTTTAAAAAATAGCACAATACAATTGAAGTACGCAGAGAACTATAGCCATCCGCTGCTTTGTCGTGTACCTTGGAGAAAAGGAAGAGGACCTTTTCAAGGAGTTTAGCGACGTAATTAAACATCTTGAAATAAAATAAAATCCACGGACACAGTGTTTTTAACACAGGACAAAAGCACTGCTCTCTGTCAGTTACATTTTGAAGCATATTGCACTTTTGGCCACACCCCAATCAATAATATCTTAGCAACGTTCAGCATGGATAGGTGTTGACAGTAATGGCATGGGAAAAGGATTGTGTAACATTTGAAAAGTGGCTTCTGCTCTTCTCTTAACCAGTTCACATATTGTATGGAACCTGCAAAAAAGATGAGAAGGGACACTAAAACTTGCACGGTTGTGATTGACTAAATCTGTCCACATGCATTTAAACACTAGGCAAAGTACTCACAAGCACCTCTGTGTGTCTTCAGGACCACATTGCCATGACGACACACACATGCAGACTCAATAGGTGAAAACAATACCAGCGTTGCTTTAGCAGCTGGTAATAATGGCTCTGAATTAGCTAAGAGTGACATTTAAAAAGTATGCAATTACCTAATTCATTATCTCTTATGCGCTAACCTATTATTTAATGTGCTTCAAAAGGACATGAATATCGCCTTCATCAGTGACCGGTCCACCCCAGGATCTGACCATACGATGGCAACCATCGTGGTCCAGGGAAACAAATGAATGAGCAAGCATTCTGCGTTAAATGTGTTCATACTGTTTGAAATAATGACTGTCGGCAGTGTAAACATCTTTGTTACATCTTTTGTAAAAATGGATGTGTGTGATCTGCAGATTGGTGGCCATTGAGAGTTTGTTTCTGTAGTTTTACAAAAACTTTACAGATTTGACATATTTGGCACTGGTTTTAAATATGCAAAGGCCTCTAACTTCGTTGCTGTGTCCCCATGTCCCATGGTAATATGGCTAATGTGTTTATTTATTATTTGTGGGGCAATTTCAATTTGTGTTATTTATCTTTTTTGTCAAGATTGAAATGAAGCTCAGCGCAAGTTCTTTCAGGAAGACTGGGTGTACATACATTCACTCCGCAGCTGCATATAATCAGCTCATCACAGGCGTTCTCTTTAACCTATTACATTTCACCTCATTCTCCAGCAGCCAATCACCGAGGTGCAGCCCAACTATAAAATGGTTCTCCTCTCTCCTGCAGTCAGCTGTGATTTCAGGTGTTCATGCACCTTATCATATGGCATGTGTCAATAAATGTTCAAACTAAATGAATTCTCTCCTGATTGAAACATCATGTGTTGAAATAAACAACTGCAGTTCAAAATAAAAAGTGAATTGCCTAATATTTTTGTTGTGGAATCAATTAATTTATTTCTTTAAAGGCAAAAACATGAAAAAGCTAAGAAAAAAAACTATTGAATACAATATTTTTGGAGCAACTTCATTTATAAATTGTCAACTTAAAAATGTGTGTTCACAATGATGGTAATTAAGTACATACAACTTAAAATTCCTTTTAAATCATGTGGTAAAACTAGTCGGAACAACTTAATCTTTTGAGTAATCAACTTCAAAACCTGTGTTTATGCTACCAATTATTAAGTAAGTGGTAATTAAAAACACCTCTGATTGTAGAGGAAAAGCCTTCTCCCCTAACTCAAATAATAATGTTGCTTTAAGACAATTTCATTAGAAGTTGTCTTAACTCAATAAACATCGATGCAAACTGTTGCGTTGATTTTCTTTGTTGAGCCAAGGCATTTGTTTTTAGAGTGTGGTTTTCCAACGCCAGACCACCATCCACCCCTACTAGCTATGGGCAATGTCTTAAATGGTACTTTTTTTTCAAATGCCACTGTATCAATCTATATGTGGAGTGTTCTATCAGGTTAATGAGCTAACGACAGCTGAACATGACATTTTTCTGACTTTAGTACGCTCTTTGTGTTTCTACCAATTAACCAGACCAGCTAGTCCTGTCAAGTCCCATGACATATGATCCATCTTTCCCCTGAACATGGTGTG